GTGTATTCGGGGAAACAAAGCACACACACGGCCTCAGTCTCTGGGTGTATTCGGGGGTACCACACAGGTGGGCATCAGTGTCCTTCTGTGGGCTCTGCCCCCTTTCCAGGTGGGTGTGGCAGAGCCCTGCTCAGCGAAAGCAGGACCACGTGAGCTTGCCTTCGGGCAATAGGGAACTCATACAAATGGGATGTCCTGAGACTAGAGGAGCTGTTTCCAGTTTGACTGAACTTGCCGGTGGCTTAGATAGAAACAGGGAGGGCAGTCACGTGGTCACCACCACAGTCCAGGGAGTGAGGAGGAGGCAGGGACAGCAGCAGTGAGGACAGCAGTGTAGGCCACACTCCAGCGACACTCCACATGTCTGCCCTCAGGTTGGCACTGGGCACCAGCAAGGCCCACATTGCAGGCCGCACTCCAGCGAGACACCAGATGTCTGCCCTAAGGTCAGCACTGGGCATTGGGACTCCTGAACTAAACACCCAGCGATATTAAGGAGCCCAGCAAACAGAGCTTGGCGGGGGAGAGGGAAAAGAAGGGGCCACCAGGGAAGCTGCATGGTTCTGGACGTTATGAAGACGTACAATGCCATAACCAGTCTGTAGCTATAGAAAATTCTGCCAAATCAGAGACAAGCATCTGGCAAAGGGAAGGGTGGTCTAAATAAGAGGGCTTGGGCTTTGAGGTGGTCCCCAGTTACCAGGGCTGAGATGAAGCCACGGAGGCAGCCTGCGTTCTTTTACAAACCTGTGATCTTAATATGTCCCTCTTCATCCAGGAGGATGCTAAAAGAAAGGGAAAGAAAACAGATGATTTAGAAAGAGACCCAGCCTGCTGACGGGCACGCGGAGCTCAGAGGGGAGCTGCGGGGCAGCTGCGGGTGGACGTCTTCAGGGAGCCCTGATGAAGCTGGCCCAGGAGGTCCCCATGGCTTGTGCAGTGGGCTTTCCCATCATGCCTCCCTTCTCCACAGCTCCCAGCTCAACAACGCATTTGGTGCCACGCCTCCTGGACAAAGGCATGTGTGTTCTTGCAGCTGGGGACTGCTGGCTTTAGACCTTCGTGGGTCCCCAGGGAAGGTCTGGGAGCCCTCCAGACTGCTGTGCACGAAACACAGGTGGAGAGTGTCCTGGGACCGCCCTGGCCTGTGGAGACCCAGAGCCTCACAGAAGGAATGTTTCTGCACTCGGGATGCCTTTGATGTCCAAAGACCCCCTTCTTCTCCCATGTATCCTCCCCGATCCCTGCCCTGGCTCTTGAGACCTATCCCAGGTGAAGCCTGCACAAGCAGGGGCCATGGCACCAAGGAGCTTCAGGCTTCAGCAGGTACATCTTGGGATGAGACCTGCTCCTGGCTTGGCACCCCTGCGGGCCAGTGGGTCCCTGTCTTGTTCCCTGCCAAGCCCTTGTCACGCCACGTGCCTGACGTGAGAGTTGCCTTTGCTCCCCCCAGGTATCCTGCCGTGGGGCGGACCCTGCATAGACAATGGAGGCAGGGTCCGTAAAGGGCTGGGTGCAGGCGTAAATCCCTTCTTCCCTGAACGTCAGGCTGGAGTCTGGGCTGTGATACCTTGACACCCCTGTGGCCCCAAACTTTCCCTATGTATTTATTTATTTGGCTGTAATTAAATCCTGTTCTTCCAGATGCTGGGAGGTACCAGCCTCGCCCTAAAGAGACCAGGAAGTGGGCTGGAAACAGGCAAGGCTTGGAGGATTAATCTGTGACACCTTTATAGAAACCTGTGAAAGGAAGGAGAGCCTGACTCGCCACAGCACAGCGGAGCCCGGAAGACATCATGCTTGACGAAATAAGCCCGTCCCGAAACAACAGGTATTATATGATTTTACAAATATAAAATGTATGGACCCTAGAGGAGTCGGAGTCACAGAGATGGAAAGTAGATGGTGGGTGCCGGGGGCTGGGGAGCTACTGTGCATACTGTGCAGGGGGGTCAGAGCTTCGGTTCTGCAAGATGAAACAGTTCTGGAGATGGACAGCGGGGATGGTGGTCCAGCAATGGGAATGTGCTTAATGCCACTGAACTGGGCACTTAAACGTGGTTAAAACTGTAAAAGTCATGTGTATTTTTCTACAATTAAAAAAAATCTGCCACAGAGTTTAAAAAAAAACCCTACTACTTTCTGCAAATGGGAAGGAAAAGTTACAGCATATCATTAAGATGATAATTTATAATGAACAAGGCAAATGTTTTCATATTTGCCTTCTGGGCATATTCAATCTTTGCCCAGAATTAAGCACCTTTCAAGATTAATTTTCTAATAATTCTAATTGAACAACACAACCTTTTCCTTCAAGTCTGCAATTAAACAAGGCTAGTTTTAGCTATAGGATCACGCTGACCTTCAGGAGTAACGAGAACCGGCACTCCCGGCCTGAGTGGATGCACGGGGTGTGCGTCTAACACACAGGCATCAATAGCCAGGGCCACGGCAGGAGGAGCAGTGGCAACGTCCACACAGACTCACAACACAGCACTCCGACTTAGAGGGTAATTAACATGAGGTTAATTTCTGGGATGACCTTTGCAAGGACCCAAGGTGACAGGCCAGGCTCTGGAAGCACCTCCCAATTAGGGAGGGGTGAAAGGGGAGGCCCAGGGCTCGGCACCACGGGGTTCTTCTAGGTCAGACCCACTTTGAAATGGAAATCTGGCCTTGTGCTGCAGCTCCTGGGGGCAGACAGCAGCTGCCAGGAGGCTACTCTCTTCGTGGGATTACTTCAGAACAAGTCTTTTATGATTCTACGTTGAGCGTCCCTTATCTGAAATGCCTGAGACCAGAAGTGTTTAGGATTTGGGGATTTTGGAATATTTACTTATATATAATGAGATATGTTGGAGATGGGCCACAAGTCTGAGCACAAAATTCATTTATGTTTCATATATGCCTTCTACACATCACCTGGAGCTAATTTACAGAATATTTTAAATAATTTTGTGTATGAAACCACGTTTGTGTTAAGGGCTTATGTGTGGAATTTTCCACTGGGGGGGTGTCACATTGGGGCTCAAAAAGTTTTGGATTTTGGAGCATTTCAGATTTTGGACTTTCAGACGAGGGATGCTCCAGCTGTATTTACACACATATTCAACTCACATGTGCAGCTGTGGCTTTCCACGGACTGGTGGTGAAGTCAGATCATCAAGCACATGGGCAAATGCATTTTACATCCTGTGGTGGATATGGGATGTGACCTGGTTGCTGGGTAAACCCAGCTGTTTCCCATAAATGACAGCTGCATCTGACAACACCAGCTTCAGAGCAGGGCTTGTCTTTTCTCAGTACCACGCAGGTGACAGGGCAGGCATGTGGAGTAGCAGCTGAGACCTGTTTGCAGACCCCAGGGCCCCCTTGGTCTTAGCTCACAGGCTCGGGGCTGCCTGGTGGTACCCAAGGCTGGTCGGTCTCACCAGGCCACCAGGTGATGCCTCATCTAGGGGCGGCTGTGGGCCCTGGTCTGGGTGGGTGGCATTAATCAGCCCCTCAGGGCAGTGAAGAGTGAGTGAGATAATCAGCTACTTCACCTCAGGGATACTGCTGAGGTCAACTCAACCTAAAATACCATCCTCCAAATCTCATCTTTTCTAAGTGGATCACTCCTAGTTATGTGTCGGGTCTACAAAGAAAATGTAAAAACAACAACGAAAGGAAAATGGGAACACTCTTATTTTGGAGGGACTTTATTGTTCAAAAATTTAGAACAGATTACCAAATATCCTAGAAATCATAGCCTCACGGGTCACCATTGCCAAGGATACGCAAATCTCAGTAGACTCTGGGCCTGGGAATTCTGGGGCCATTGTCTTTTAGATACATTCTTGGGCGAGCTGATCTGACTGGGTACCTAGAGGTGGGGCCGACGCGTAACTGAGTAGAGGTTCATTGACCACATTCGGGGGGCTTCCTGAAGTAGATGAAAGGGCTTCCTGAATCTGGAGGACGGCGGGGAAGAGATGACAGAGGAGGAGAAACTGCCCTGGAGGCACCCATGTTTGAGATGGTCCCCAGTGGCCAGATGAGCCTCACCCAGGAGAGAGGGCGGGAATGTGGGTCAGGGTGGTGGGCGTGCCCTTCTCCAGCTCTGGCTTCCTGTACATCACAGACACACACCTGAGCCTGGCCTCCCTCAGGCCTTATGAGTGTCAGGTGGGAACGGGCCTGGGCGTTTCCTATGCAAATCAGCAAGGCCACACCTCCACCGGATGGCTGAGCCAGTCCTGCCGGCACACGAGTCTACCCAGCCTGCTCTCTGATACGTCCTCATTTAGGAAATAAATATCTAGCAGTGGCTACCAACACGGCCCAGTAAAAAACACGGAGCTGATGGGCTTGGGGAAGTCAGCCCTGGTTTTTTCTCACTTACTTCTCAGGCTTCAGATCTCTGTAGATGATCCCCAGGCCGTGGAGATGGTCTAAAGCCAAGGCCAGTTCAGCCAGGTAGAACTTGACATCTTCCTCCGTGAACATGACCTAGTAAGAAAAAAACAAAAACAAAAACATTTAACTTGTTTTATGGCTGGTGTGTTTTACAGAACGCTGCCAGAGAGACGGAGAGTGCACACTGGGGTCGGTTTGCTCTGTGGAACGCTGTGGCCCCCCACAGTGGTTTTCTGACTCTTCTCATAGAAAAGTAAGCTCCCTCTGCAGTTCTAAGATCAGTGGATGGAGACGAGGGCTTCCTGCAAAGGTGACTCATGCTGCCTTGAGAGTGGGGTGCTGAGATTCAGCCTCTCCTCTCTGTGTCCCTCTCGCCCCTGCAAGTCATTTGGCTCTGGAGTAGGTTTCTGGGTTTACGTTCCAATATGAGTGCTAATGATGTGAATTCATAACAAGTTTAACACAAGTAAGACTCTGTGAGGGCTTGACGCAGTGACTGAAAATGGGTCTCAAATATCACTTTCCCCATGGATTATCTATCTCCACTCCTTGGGTTGATGCAAACTAGTAGCCTATGTAACCTGCTGTCAACCCAAAGTGGGATTAGTTCTACCAAAGACCACCCACAGGTGGTGCAGAGTTGGCTATGGGTGCCCCAAGCCGAGGGGGCGGGACAGGGAGGGGTTTCTGGGTGTTGGGGTGGGCGGCCACATTCCAGGATCCCATGTGGCAGGGACAGCTCAGGGCTTGGAGGTGATCAGGCGGGGATGGCCTAAGTGTCCATGTGCTGGGGGCTCACTCAGGCCAGCCGAAATATGCATGAGGCCTCGGAGCCCAACAGACCCCAAAGCCATCGTCCCACAGTGACTCATCCCCATCCTCGACTTGTTAGAATCAGCACATAGTTTTTGTAGACCCCCTTACAAGGAAGCCAAATCATGCCCACAAGCCATTTTCTATATTCGTCAGGAGAAATCAACATTACGGAGACTACAAGTCCGCATGATTACTGAATTATCAGCACACAGCCAGAAGGCTGCCCAGCAAGCACAAAACTAGGAGAAGGGTGGCCTGGGTGTCTGAACGGTGAGTGGCGTCAGGCTGATGGCTGGGCACACACTTCACACAGGGGGTTCTTCCACGGGGCTGGACACGCAGGCTCCATGTCCCGACAGTGGCCAGTGGGTGCCAGCCACCCGCCAGTTGCCTGAGTCCCTGTCCTCCGTTCCACGCTTGGCCAGCGCCTTTCCCGGATGTATGTTCCAGCCACCTGCCAGCCCCCCGAGTCCCTGTCCTCCGTTCCA